GGCCTCCTTGGGGGCTCGCCCCTAGGGCTAGGCGTACGCCGCTTGTCCTGCTCCCGATTCCTGGGAGAGTACCTGTCCCTTCGATGAGGACTTGGGGTATTACCGGTCCTCTTCCTCGAGGATCACTAGGATCGGCCGATTAGGCCTATGGGAATCTCCAAACGGAGATCGTCTCCTAACGGGAGGACCAGGAGCACCAGGTTTCTGGGCTCTGTCCCTGGACTGAGATCGTTCGTAAAAGTCTTTGTGCATATTGACCTGATTCTTACGAACCCTCCAGCGGTCAATTTCGTTCTTACAACGAGCACGAAGCCATTCATAGCTACAAACATCAGGGTTGGATATGTTCCTATCCCATTCCCTGATATCATGAGCCAAACAGTTGAGGTGTCTAACCTTCTCACTGAATAGCGACCGCTTTACCTGCTCGGTCAGCGGTTCATCGAGACCCGCAAGGATGTGATCCCACTTCGCGATGAACCTTTCAAGTCGCTCCTCTTCAGTATAGAAAGATGAAACACTGCATCGCAAGTTTGAGAGCTCAATTATCCTGAATGATTGCTCTCCGATATTCGCAGTCCTTAAGTGGTCGTATAAGAGCCACAGGATCTGCCTACTCTTGATGCGATTGTTGGAACGTTGAGCGGCTTCGGTGAGACGATTAATCTTATCGATAATTGCAACAGTCTTGATGCACTTCCGAATGGCTGCATTGAACCTGGCTTCAAGGATGTGGTATTTACATTCCCCATCCAGTTCATCAAAGGTCTTTGCCTTCTCGACTTCAGTTAGCCAATTGATGACGTAAAGTCCATCATAGCTGTAGGCGTTGCTAACAGCTTCCTTCATATTGGCTATCCATACCCTCAGCCCAGCCGCGTCGGGCTCTGGCGGGAGGTCTATGGAAATGCACTTAGTCGCAGCTGTACAGTTCGGATCATGGTGGCTACCGTACCCGCCGCCACCAGCCCCGAAAAGATGCTGTGGAACCTGAGAACTACCGATTGACAACGCACATACAGGACAAAGGCGAGTAGCCTTCGGGATGCAAATCTCACATGCCCTTTTCATGCATATCTTACATTCCTCAATTTTACTGGGATCAGGAATATCCCGATCACACATCCGACATTTCTTGTCAGGAGGATCGGGGCCACGCATGGTCGGCGGCTCAAGGCCTGAAGGATCCTTTGGCCTTGTACCGTTGGGATCAAATCCTGGATAATATCCGGTTTCACGTTTATCCAGGGGCACGGGTTGCGTAGCCTTCGGAGGACTCTGAAGGTCAGCCGCGTTGGGTTGACCCCCAGTTGGAGTGTCACGGAATCTGTCAACGGGTGGCCGCAGAGGCGGCGAGTACGACCGCGTCGGGTTCGTCTCAGGTACGCCTCCAGGCGATCTATTCCTGACACGGTTACCATCGGGATCCCTTCTTCTCCTAGTTTCGTCCCTAAGGCACGCAAGACAACAGGGACCCTGGACAAATCCAAATCTCCTGTAGTCATCCTGCCCAGCAGAATGTCTGGTGCAGTAGTAGGTCTTACAAAACTGACACTCAATTCCCTTTGTCAGGAACGAGCTCTCCCTACAGACTCCGCATCGGGGTCCGTTACGGGAACATTCTTCACACAGGTTCTCTTTAAACGAGAAACAATACTCACAAATGTCACCTCTGCATCCCTTGCAGTGAAACTCAGCCATGAGATGATTATATCCATCACCTACATATTTACATCTGGGTTTACCAGGGTTGCCAGGGTTCCCACCGGCGGCACTCTTCTTCCCCCCTCCTCCTGGGCTTTGCCAATCTGGAGGAGGAGGTGGTGGAGGATCATCATCAGGAGGGCCAGGTGGAGGTGGCCGCTTATCCGGAGTACGGGACGCGGCACGCCTTCCTCCTGTGTGATCGTTCAATCCACTACTTGAGGCCTGGTTCGAGTGCCTTGACTCGAGGGAGTTAATTCTCTGGGCCGTATTACCCAGCACCTCGAGCATTTGCTCGAGCTTGCTGTTGAGCGTAGTCGAAACGGCCATGTTATGAGTATTTTGCTTGTCCGTGTAGGATTTGCAGTCCCTTGACTTCATCTCAAGGTTGGCTTGTGTCTCATAAAGTTGGTCTTTAACCCACTTTATGCCGTCCCTATTATTGGTCCAGCGTTGTTCGACATCTTGCATCATCCTATCAATCTGACATACTCTAGTGGACAGGTCCTCGATTTTGAGGTTTACTCCACCAATAGCAGGATGGTTGGATTGGCTCTCCACTAGAGATCTCTCGATCATATCAACACGAGCTCTAAGCCCGGTTACTCGATCAGAAAGAGATTCAAAAACAGTTTGAACCTGGGTGATGGAGCGAGCAACATCATCATAGCTGGCCCGCTCGTTTAGGGCATCGCCTATACTTATCATGCGATCGGCAACGATCTTGACGCGTTGGCCAAGCTCGGCCACAATGTCCTTAGTCCCTTGTGATAGCTGCATGGCCGCGGTCGCAGCCTGCGTACACGTGCTACTCACATGGACGCATTGGTCGCATTTGGCCCTCCACGAGTTAACCTCAGTGGAGAGCTTTGATGCATTGATCACTTCTATCATTCCTACGCCCAAGGTCTTCGACCTTAGCAACCAGGCGATGAATGATCGCACTTACCGAAGAGTCCACCCTCCCTCTTTCAAGGGCTGTTACAAGATCAGCAACCTCGTTGGGTTGCTCCTCACTCGTAGGACCAAATCCTGATCCGCGATCTCGAGGAGTGGACAGATCAACCATGATTGGATTAGATCTCGGAGGAGTTCTGAAATCATCCTGCACGGCCGTTGATGGCCGTGGGAACTCACTCCGATTAGGAGATTGACTCTGATACGGAGCAGATCTCCTAGCATCACGAACCGCAGAGGGTTGTGTCATGCCCAGGCCTTTGGCCACGGACAGTTTAGGAACAACAGGCCTATCCGTTCGCATAGGAACATCAGGTCTCGAGTCAGCAATAACAATGTCATTCAAGTCGGTCGCATTGGACACTCTAGACTCAGACATCGATTCAATATCAGTCGCATTACTGATAGTATGATTGCGACTAGAACTTGATGCCATCATGGACTCAGATTCTATCGGAACGTTAGCTCCGTCCATGTCGTCCAGAGCGAAAATGGAAGCCGCGTTGGGCGTAGGGCGAACACCTTGCGCGTTCAAGCCACTTGACCTATTAAATTCCTCCTGGAATGCTTCGATCCCATCAAGCACGTTAACGAGTGTGTCCGCGTTTAACGGGTCTCTACCAATGATTGACGCTGGATCACCTGATCGACCGCGTCCTGAGTCCCGCGCACTGGGGTTACCCCTGTGGGCAGTTTCCCGATCCATCCCCCTTGCCCTATGCGATCCAGTCGAATTTGACCTTGATCGTTTGCTTGGGGTTGGACTGGGATGCAAATCCAATCTATCTACGATATTACGCTCCCTAGGGCTTTCAAATCCTGAAAGTCCTGGGGGAGGGGACATGTTCCTCATGGTCGGGTTTACCGACGGCCTTGGCCTGACGTTACGGCTGGCCACGTCAGGATTGAGATTCTCAATCGACAAAGGTAGCATGAATTCATCGCTTCCAGCAGCCCGTTTTGGGCTTTGGAATTGCGGGAAAGATGACGGGGCGGGTGGCCCTGGCATCCATGCGGCAAAATCCATACCAAAAATGTTTCCGTCGTTGGGCCATGAGGCTCTCCAATCGAGCCCACCGGATTCGGTCGGCAGATGAACGTCAAATGCAACTCCACTGGATGTACCAGGTTCGGGATTACCGATCACTTGAAAAGCTATGCTACTGGTTGGCACAGGTCTACTGCTACTTCGAGAGTCACGAAACTCGGACTGACCAATATTCATCAGCTCCGGGAAAGATGAGGATTGAGCTCCAGGTGTAATACCGGGCCCGTCATCATCACGTCCTGAGACGGAATCATCATGGCCAGGACGATTAGACCCACGACCCTGAGAGCGATTAGCTCTTGAGGCATTAGACGATAGATCATCAGTGCGAGTAGCACTGGATCTCCCTGAAGGCATTGCTTCTGAAAAAGTGTGGTCCGACAAAAAGTCAGGACCGGAAAACATCGGCTGTCCGGGCACTTGGTCGTCATTCACAACGTCCAAGATTCCGGCCTGGCCGAGAACCCATTCGTCGGTCACCACATGAGGTCCGTCCTCAGTGATTCCCGCCATGACGCCTACAGAAACCTACGGTACCTGCAGGGTTGTTATTAAAAGGGGTTCGCGGTGCCAACCGAGGACGAATCCTACGGCTGATAACCTGCGAAAGGGTTTGAAACAGAGTTTCGGGAGAGAATAAACAGGCCCAATCCCACCAACAAGAAGAGATTGTTTAAGTCCCCCAGTCCCAAGGGCAAAGCGGTGCCCCCGGCTGGCACTACAAACGAACCAAAACAGGGTGCCTTTAACCAAATGATGAATAAACCCAGCAAGGGCAGAGACAACCGAAAGCAAGCACAAAGCAGCAAACCAAGCAGGCAAACAATGCAGCGAAGCAAGCAAAGCAAACCAAATGCGCACCAACCCCAACCAGAACCCCCGACCAACCTCCGCCAGGAACACGACCGCAAGCGCACAGCACCAACACTCCGTGTCGATGATGTGCGCGTCGCGCCGCCGCGTTTTGGCGCCGAGATTGCAAGAGCTAATTGCCGGGTTGAAAAGCTTGAGCCAAATGCCGCGTTGGGCATTGGCATGAAATCACATATGCTATGATAAAAGTACATGCCCCCAAAAACAAAATGGAAACTACCACGAAACACTAAACAGCTAAAAAGCTAAGGGGACGGCTCGCAAAAACAAGCTCGTACTGTCTCTTCCCACTGTTTGTAGGCCGAGGAAACCCAATCTCTTGGTTCTACGCGCAAAGGGGGACAACACAAGCAAGCACCAAACCATGACCCTGAGATCATCTGCCCACAAGCTCTTGCAGAAACGAACAGAGCCGGTCCTCCGTCGTAACGACTGCAGCGCCTTCGTCGGTCCACAACCACCTGGGCCAAAATGCGCATGTTTTACAACATAAGATCGGTCCCAGCACAACCATGGCTTCGTGGACTTGGAGCTTTGGACATGGGCATGGGTCAAAATTAAACCACCAGGAATTGGACCGCGGGTCTTGGTGCATGTTTCCACTTACCAGGGCAAGCCATTTTGGGTACATATGTTTGACCCACAGCCACATGGGAAAGAGCAGTTGTTTGGGGGTGCTGGCTAGTGATTTCATGATAGAATAACTGGTAAGCGCCACTACTCGATGATCATGGGCCGCTGTTGCTCTGCCTAGCGTAGCGTGAGGGCCGCTTGAAAAACAAAAGAGAGAAAGAACCTTGTCTCAAGTGTTGGACCTGCTTGACTTTTATGCAGTCGGAATTCCATCACTCCATGGAGCAACCTGGCTGCAGGAAGAGCCATAATTCGTCAACCGAATTCGAAAGGAATCACATCTAGACTATTGGCCATGCAGCCAAACGTCTGAAAAATGCGGCCCCTGCCATTGATTAGCTCAGGATTCAACTTTTCCGTTACCGAAGCCAAAACGACTCGAGGGTCAGATTTGCCCCCGCAGCAAACCCCCCCACGTAGTCTGTTGGTTTAGTATTGGTTTAGCCTTTCTTAGTGCTGCCTTGTGTAGTGTTTATTGCTGGGTGTTGTATTGGTGTATTGCTTTCGTACTGTAGTATTGGTTGAGTTTTGGATTCATATTTGTTCGTGCTACTTGATACTGGCTCAGCATCGGTCGAGTATTGGTCCGGTGTGTGATTGTTACTTGTGAAAACCACTTTCGTGTATTGAGTACTCTTAAACATGTCTTGGCCACAAGCAGTCCAAACTTTTGTTTGCCACTAAAACGGTCTTCTGAGCTACTCATGAAACCATGTTGGCCGTGCTCCTTCAAACGAAAGCCTAGAGACAGAACTTCCAGTTTGTGTGGCTACCGGCTTTCCGGGTTTTGGAATTGAGGCATAGAAAACAACCACTGATCAACGTGGGGTTGGAAAAGACCGGGTTGCATGCCCTGGCGGACAGGCAAACAGGCGAAGATTTGTTGGGAGACCCATGTGACTTTTGGCTGAGAAACACATTGTATTCAGTACCCTCCTACTTGCTGGGAGGGGCGTAAGTTCGGGAAGCTGTCTTGCATTTGGTACCCCTGATTAATCGGGTACAAGAACAGCCACAGGCCCTTTGGTGGGCCCAATAAAACGCCAAAGTTTTTGTTTGTTGCTTTGGAATTCCCATCATGCAAGCAACCATCCAAACAGGGGCTCCTCATCTTGGCTCACTAGCTGAAAACCCAGCCCCAAAAAGATTACCCTCAACAAAGCAACGAGCCGCCCATGTGCAAACAGGGGACCCCTAGTTTGAGAAAATGGGTGTGTCTCTTTTCTATTGCTTGAGGGGGGGGTCGCTTAAAACAAAAACACTTAAAACAAAAACACACGATACATCTATATGCATATATATATATATCACAATTCCGCCATCTATACCTGTTGTTTTTTTTGGGGAAAGCTCCCCCCCAAAAAAAAAACAAGCTCCGCCGTGCTCTTCTTTTTGGGGGGAGCCCCCTAACAACCGGAGATCGAACCCCCCCCCCCCAGCGACATGGAGGCTCCATCTCCTTCGCGCCGAGGCCGCGGCATCCTCCGAGGCCGCGCGGGAGCCCTTGGCCACCGCCTCATCCGCCGCCTCAGGTCCGAAGCGAGGGGATCCACCTGCCGCTTGCTTCAGCGCTCCTGGGAAAAATGTAAAAATACTCACTTGCTGAGTGGATGGCCCAGAAAAAGTTCAAACTTTATATTTACCACTAAAATGGTCTTCCCAAAAAGTTTAAAGATCATAAACTCAGGAAGTGAGGGGATGGGCGATCCAAGGCCTGGATTTGCTTGAGTGTGTGAGTGGGTGAGTGCTCCTGGGAAAAACATGCAGAACTGTGGATGGACGAAACCCATTTCGCACCAGGGAACCCTGGAATGATGATTCCCCTGTACATACCTACAAACAATGGGCTTCCCATAAGTTCGAAGTGGTGCAGGATTTCGTCCATCCACAGTATGTTTCCACCCTAAGGGTCATGACCCCTCCAATGCACTCCAGGACCCTCCAATGGGGAACCGACCCCTCATGGGCCCTCAAAAACAACCCATTTTGAGGCCCCAAAATCAATCGGGACCCTGAGGGCAATAATGATGATTGATTCCCTATTCCATGAGTCCGTTGTCACATGGGTATATGCTTTATTTTGAGTGTGCCGTTTTGTTGGGTACAGTTTAAAGGGAACCAAGAGGCTTTGGTGTTTTTTTAAGCAGCCATAGGTGGGTCCCTTGGTACCCCATATTCTTGCTGTTTTGTGTTGGTAAAAAGGGAATTCGTCAATTACAGTGTCCGAACAAAACTGCACACAAGAGACATCAACGTACCCTTTTGGGACAACAAATCCTAAAAGGGTACCATCATGTCAAAGGGTACTTCTGCGTTCCGGTCAACGCAGGCACTCCATCCTTCAACAGGGTTGTCAAAAAACACACACCCACACACACATCCAGATTCCTTGTGGCCCGACCCTCAGACCCTCAAAAGCCAAGGACTTCCAGGTGGACTTTTCAGCTTGCGGTCGGTCTGATCCTTCGTGGTGTCCGGCGATTTTTGGTTTGGGTCCATTTGGTGGACATCATGTGAGTACGGATTTATCCCACCTGGCGACTTACAACTCAAAGTCAGACCTGGGTTTTGCAAGAGCCTACCAACCAAAAAAGGCATCATCATTCTTGGAAAGGCACTATCTAAATACAGAGCCAATAATGACTTTTAGAGACGTAAGCTGTAAACCCAGGTTTCGGCCCCAACATCACTCGTTGCTTTTGCTTGCCTTTTACAGTCGGAGTTCGCAGTCGTCTCGCGTCACCCATGTCAGCTCCACTTTGCTGATTTGCAGTTGGAGTTGTGTTCGGTTTCCCTTTACCCTTGAAGAACCCAGAAATAAAACAGGTTAACCTTTGGCTGCCGTGACTAAACATGGACCAAACAGAGTTTGAAACGAAAGGGCAGATCCTGTTGGTTCGCTTTGGTTGCAAGTGAGCAACCATCCAAATCCATCCAACATCCAACTTCCTGGAGTCTCCATGACCCGTTAAACATGGCAGAAGGAGACTCCAACTTCCCCTCGCCTTCTTTCGACGCAAAAAGGCCGGCGCCGTGACTCCCCGGGGCCCCGGCGGCCAACTCCTCGAGGTTGGCGCTGTTCCGATCCACGAAGCGATACGTCACCGGCCTCGGAGCTCGACGCAACTCTGGCGCGTGGCATGGCGAAGGCGCGAAACGGCGGCCGGGGCTTCTTGTTGCTCCTTCTTCTTCTTCTTTTTTGTGTGTGTTGTGTTGTTTCTTTGTTTTTCCTCTCTTTTTTCTTCTTTTTCCGGGGGGGGCGGGGGACGAAAGCGGCGCTTGGAGATGAGTTCCGTGAAAAAGCATGGAGGCAATATTAGGCAACCCGTCTTGAGTTCAGAAGCCTCAACACTAAACTTGGCGCTGCTGGCTTGGATTCCTCCCAAAGGGGAAACAATGGCTGAGTGTGCTGCTGCTTTTGAAGTTGTTGCATAGAGAGAGAACCGTAGGGAAACCATGATAAAGCCAAGCAGGGAAAAGCTGCACACTTGGGGCACAGAAAGATCAAACAAACTTGGAAAACAAAACATTATTAAGCTACACTCAATCCAGGGAACTAGGGAATTGAAGGGAACTCACACGGAAAGGGCAAGTTAGGGGTTGTTTAACTCGAGAAAGTCAACATCCAAACTTGGTATCAACGACACATACCTGAAACTATGCAAAGAACCGAGAGGGCGACTATTGGGACTTTCCGTTTTACTAGAGGAAACACATGTGAACTCATGTTAGACAAACTCTCCAACGGGCAACATGCATGGGGCGTTGGCACTCTTGTCACAAGGCTCAAGCAAGTCTGGCGCCCGTCATTCGAACGAAGTCTGGACTTTACATATGAGCCATACGTCACACGCATTTATAGGTGGGTTGTTTCAAGCTTGGGATCCGTATCACCAAGAGGGGCAAAGATTACCTCAGGGTTTACAGTGTGGCAACTGCCAATTAAACTAGTAAACTGCTTGTCCATCATGGCGACACCCTCAAGCACTCTGAATGGTGGTGTAACGGGAAACCACGGGACCAAAAGAAACTATGAGGACTGACTTGGCCATGGGTCAAAATCCCGTGCCCCCAGTGACCATCCCAATCCCCACTAAAATTGGTTCTAAAATTGGTGGTGCACCTACCCCAAAATGGGATCCCATTGGTGTTGACCCACGGCCACTTTTGTTGAGAGTACCCTTCTCGCGTCTTTACCATGGCTTGAAAGGAAAACCACAAAGGAACAAGGAAAGCCATGTTCGGGGTCCCAAATATGAGATCCAGCAAAAAACAGGCGACCTGGACCCTCAAGCTACCGTTACCAAAAGGGAATTCAACCAGAACTTTTGGGGCAACAACCCATTTTCAAGTTGGAATTTTGAGGGTTCAGGTACAGGAAAAGGCTCGGAAGCCTTTCCAAGCCTTCTCCAGTCTTGAAGAAATGGGCTTCACCCATATTCTAGGTCCTCCAGCAGAGAGCTTGGAACAAGGGTACCCTTTTTGCTGTAGTCTATTTTGGTAGGGGAACCCTCACCCCAAAGAAGGGGTGAGAAAGGGCACTACTGGGAGACCTGGTATTGTTGGGGCATTAGCCCATATTTAAGAAAAACATGTGGGTCCAGGCTCACTCCAAGTGTCCCTCTCACCCAAACTTCCTGAGGCTTTGGCGCACCAGCAGCTGGGTCGGAGAGAACGTATCTGGCGAGTCCAGCTTTTTCGGGACGGGGCCCAGTGGATTCATGGACTCCAAAGTAGACTTCCCCCAAGGGTTTCCCTTTGCGGGTCAAAACGACAAAACAACTGGGTTTGTCTAAGAGAACCAGTCCATACCAGTCCTTTTCGTTGGATGGGATCTTTTCCACGCTTGCTGATGATCCATGTTCACTTGGAATGACACGCTTCTAGGTGTCTACACTCGAAACTTTGTTGATGTTGCAAAGCAAGGGGGTCAAAGGTAATATCCCGGTTTGGAGAGTACGTTGGAGGATATACTCACTTCCCAAGTTGACTAGCCAAAAAACAAAATGACTTTGTATTTACCGCTAAAATTGTTTTTCCAAAAAGTTTAAAGTCCACCAACTCAGGAAGTGAGTATAATGTGAACAACATAATTTGTTGTTACCCTCAGATACCGTCGAGCTCCCCGAAAACAGACTCATAGCCTCCCTCCTCGGAAGGTACTTGGAAGTTTCCTTTCCGCTTGCTGTCAGCTGCCCATGTTACCCAACCAATTGACATGGATTCTCCGTTTAAAGGGACCGGGTCTCGAACGTCGAACGGCTCCATATTCGTTGGCGCCATGCTAGTGGGAGGGTCATCTTGATTTCGGATACTCCTTTCCTTGCTGTCGTTCAGTAATCACTTCTTCCTAATTATAAAGGTCGCCCTAATAATAAAAACCCTCCTCCAGAATTCAAAAATCTGGCAATACTACTTTTAGAATAGGCCAATACTAAACCAATTCTACACTACCCATTTTGACCGATTTTCTCGTTCGTCCTCCAAATCATCCGTATTAGGGGTACCTTTTACAAAACCCACTCTCACACACCACAAACATACAAACACAAAAACCCACCCTCACACACACACTCAAACACACAACACTCAAGCACGAGGTTTCCCGCCCAAAAAAGGTCACCGTTTCCATTTAAATCCCTTACTTAAAAACAATCAGTTGAATGGTTTTTGGTGCCCGGAAAGGGGGGAACACAGTCCCACTGATAACCAATACTAAAACCAAGCTACTCCCAAATGCTGCCCTAAAGTTCCGAAAACTGAACAGGGGACCCCTAATCATAAAAACCCCGAGTTTTTTTTTATATTAGCGGGGGGGGGGGACGTTTTATATCAGGGGGAAGCGATTAGGGAATGTGGGAATAAACCCAGGCGTTGGTCCCCTTGAAGGAAACCCACAAGGGATGGTTTGTAGGGGTCATTCCATTTCTCATTCCCTGCCTATCGCACCCGCAGGTTTTGTGAGGTGGCCATGGGCCGAAATCCCGTACCCCCAGTGAACGTCCCAATCCCCACTAAAATAGGCTCTAAATTTTGACCCACAAACATCTGAATACCTGGATTCCCAAACACCCCTTTGCTCTGCCGAAATGACCCGTCAAAAAGGGGGTAAGGCAGAAAACAGGGGTCCAAACTGGGGGTCCAGGTACCCTTTGTTCTATTTCATTGGATTCATTCCCATGTGCCAAATTTGGACTAAACCGCTCTTTTTTGGGTTCCATGCTACGACTCAGCCGTTCTGAATATCTTCTCGAAGGCGATAGCTCCAGTCTGGTTTTTAGAATCTCCAGGACCATGTTCAGATGGAGGGGGTTCTGAAAACAGGGGTCCCTCCTTTGGACGGTTTAGAGAGAAACCAAAAGAACACCAGCCACTTAGAGGGGTGGCCAAGTGGTGTTCCTTTGAGTTCCAGTAACGTTTTGGTGTTGCTAATATTGAAATATACCATGTTTATTGGGACATCCACCAAGCAAAAAGGCATCCAGTGAACAACTGTGCAATTGCTGAACAAGACATGTGCAAATGGCACCATTTGTTTAACAGAAATTGTTTTGGATATCCCGGGTAAATGCCCAACAACTGTTCCGTCCGTCGCAAAAAATGCAAGATCAAATTAAGAGGGCATCTGCGTTCCGTTCAAGGCCGTTGGGCAAGGGATGCGTAAAACACATGTTTGTTCAGGTTACGCATCGAGTTTCAGTATCAGATGTCAATGCCGAGCGCACAAACCTATAAACTCCAAAAGGCGAAAATTTCAGCCTGAGACTCGAAAAGGCGCCTTTTGCCGTCCAGCGGCGGAACTTGATGGGGAGCTGGTTGTGGCGGCGTTTTTCAATCTGCGACGGCGTTTTTGCGTCTTGTGGGCATTTTGCCTGACGTGGGCCGCTTTGCAAGATCTGCGCACCTGACCGCGACTATGCAACTTTGCCAGGTTTTGTGCTAGGCTTTGTGGGTTGGTGAAACTCGGTGCGACCTGTTGGAATACCCATCGAGCTTTACCGCCAAATGTGTTGACTTGCACCGGCGCAAACCTACGTCCCGACGGCGGAAACGCGCGTCCCGACGGCGGAAACGCGCGTCCCAACGGCGGAAACGCGCGTCCCAACGGCGGAACTCGAGATCGCAAACGCTTTCTTGAGGAGTGATCCAGGTGTCACAGATCGACCAAAGCCGCCTTGCAAGGGGGCGAGAGTCGGCTTTGTGTTGTGTTCAGCGCTTCATGTTGCTACCTTCTGAGACTGCTTTGCGCCGAGGCCCTGAGCTGATTTGGATCAGCCAGGGGCCAACGGCGTTTCTTGCAAACTGCCGGCGTTTCTGGAATTCAACGGCGTTTTTTTGCTGCGGCGGCAGAAGTTCCCGTCCAAAATCACAACGGCGTTTATTTTAGCCCGACGGAGTTCTCAGGAATAAAAGGTCTTGGGCAATTCGCAAGTGCCTTATGTGGCTGTGTTCGTTCAACAGGCTGGGCCCAAGGTTCAAGCCAATGAACCTAGGTGTGACCTTCCTAAAACTGGGAGGCATGGGTTCTAGTCACACTGAGCAACACAAATTGATTCTACGTCCTCCAGTAGAGAGGTTAGAATAAGGGTACCCTTTTTTCTGTAGTCTATTTTAGTAGGGGAACCCTTCCCCCAAACAAGGGTAGAAGGGCACTACTGGGGGACCTAGGATTGCAACATGAGCAGTCCCCACGAACCCACAAGGGGGGCGGGGGTCAATGAAAAATCCGTGGCTCCCATAGACTGCCTTGCGACACATTTGAGCTGGCGTCCCAGGAAGCAACACGCCGGGTGCACAGAAGCACAAGTTCTCGTCCTCTGATCGACCTCGGAAACTTGTGCCAACGAAAAAAGAGGTCAAACCATAAGCTAATCTGGCCATGGGTCAAACTCCAAATTGTAACCCCGGTGAACATCCCAATCCAACCACTTAAATAGGTTCTAAAATGGGTGGTGAATTCACCTACCCCAACATGGGACCATTGGTTTTGACCCACAAACATCTGAATACCTGGATTCCCAAGCACCCCTTTGCTCTGCCGAAATGACCCGTCAAAAAGGGGGTAAGGCAGAAAACAGGGATCCAAACTGGGGGTCCAGGTACCATTGTGGGATTCATTCCCATGTGCCAAATGTGCACTGAACCGCTCTGTTGTGAGTTGACCCAAGGCAGACCTGTCGCCCAAAGGGGTAAGTCTCCTTGGGGTTAACCAAAACGTGGAACCCTGGCCGGAAAACGGCCATCTGAGTTCATTGTGGCTCATGTTACAAACTCCGGGAGTCCGTGTTACCTAAAATGGTCTTCCCAAAAAAATGGTCCACCAAAAAAGTTGGTCCACCTGGAGTCTCCATGCCCCTTTCAAAATGGGTCCATGACCAAATGATATTTTGGGGTCCATGACCAACCATTTTTAAAGGGTCGGATCCGGAGACTCCAGGAATTGAAGGAGCAGTACAAACTCCGGGGGTCTTTCATTTCCCAAAATGCTCTTCCCCCCAAAAAAAAGCGCTCCACCCAAAAAGTTGGTCCAGGATCTCCGAGGACCGAGTCCCAGCTCTGCCGCTGCCGCTCCGCCGCTCCCGTTTTGGCCGCTCTCGCCGGGCCCCGGGGCTGGGAGAACTCCTTGCTGCCGTTGGTGCGGCTCTCCTTCCAACGCCGCACCTGGCAGACGGACGTGGCTGGCAGGGAAGAGGGGGGGAGTCTGCCAAGGGTTGGGGGAACCACTTCCTGTGTTTAGATATAAGAAAACATGGAGGTTGATGATCATGGATCATGGGAGCAAAATGGACTCTTACTTACGTACAGGTACTTTACATGGAGTTCGATGACGGTATGACTGACTGTGAGATAACCATGGGAGTACGCATTGAGTTCCAACAATTGGGAACAACATCTTGGCACTGTATTGAAACAAACACCAAACACAAAACCACAACTGACACTTACCCCTTAAAACTCCAAGCCCTGGGGAAGTTAATCTTTTACAGACATATAGCCCATGTTACCCAAAAAGTTGAAAAGTTGTGTTTTTAAGAGGTAAGGACATGTTTAGGTGACCAGTTTTTTGAAGATCGCGTCGACTTCCCGCAAACTTTTTGAACCTGCGAAAAGGCTCGCGTCTTGGGGCCCAAAGCTTCACCCTCCGATGCTTCAGGTTTCCACTGGATACGTTGGGGGAGTTGATCCACGAGGGCTCGGGGACTCTAGGCTTTGCGGTTGAAGCGATTTTCGCCTTTTCAGCGGACTTTTCGTGGTTGAAGCAAAATGTAGGCTTCTGATGCGATCAGCTTCACGCATATTGGAATGGGGGTTCATATAACCACCATTGTTTACCTAACGACTCTCATCATCCAAACTTGCTTAACCATTCGTTTACTAGGGGGTTGAATGCTAGAGTAAGGGAAGCTCAACATAACCCGAATCCGCGACAGCGAATTCCGGTATTCGGTTTTCGCACCTCACACCTGCCCTCAAGAGCAGTCTTGTGTCCATGTGTCCAGGCCCGTAGGTTCTAGGCCTACAAATCAAATGGCAGCCACACCTGAAATGGCTTGAGACCGCGTCGGGCCCACCAAATCAATCGACCCGTGCAAACCACAGTCAACACACAACGTGCGTGGGTGTGTTTTTAGGGACCCCCCAAAATGGGGGGAGGTGGTTCCTTTCGGTTCCCTTTGAACCGGACAAAAGAGGGGTACCCTGGAAAAAGACGAGCCGCCCATGTGGGGGGCTTCAATACTGCGACTGGAAGGATGTCTCCCTTGATTCAATGGTTTGCTTCTTGGTAACCAGCAAATCCTACCGTGGATTCTATCGCGGGCATACTCATATGCATGTTATATATATAATGCACATGTTGTTTGTATACATGCATACAGAGGGAAGGTACTATATGGAATCCCCCAGCAAGGAGTTCCTTCATTGTGGGTGAGGTCGCGAATCAACATCTACCGGACTCCTGTGGACACCATAATTCTTGTCCTCTGCACTATACCCTTCCTCCTCCATGTCCTCTTCAAGAGCCCATTTCTGAATCACGCAGGGCTCCCGATTTTTGTTTTGCTTTATTTGTCTAAACACTTTGATCCCAAGGCAGCTCACCTATAAGCCCCTTGCTGATTTAAAACACCCCTCCCCCCAAAATGGCTTCGGTGCTCCTTTTGGTTTCGCTCTGAAACCGTCCCCGAAACGGGCGCCCTCAAAGGGGCAATGAGCCACCCACTTCCATGTCAGGTGAAATAGGATCTAAATCCAAATTCAAAAGTCATGTCTCATCGCACGTGAGACTGCACGCCTCTCGTATCAACGGAGGCGACTTGGCGTTCCTGAGCATCGGTCGCCAGTTTCCAAAGACTCACATTCCGAAAACAAGCAACCGTCAGTTGCCACAACAAAAGGAAGTTCAATGAACATTAACATCATCTCCGAGAAAAAAAACAACTACGCGGCTGATGAACCCCCCCCCCCACCCACCAAGAGTTTGAAGAACCTGCTGATGCAAGGGACGTTTTGTAGCCGCCAGGAACCCCAGAGTTCAAACGGAACCCGAAGCGGTACATAGGGGTCCTTCGGGTTTGGGTTATTTGCAGGGTCCTCGGAAACCAGAAACACGAAACTAAGCCAACTTGCAACTTACTCATGTTCCCATTACATGGTGTTTGGCTTTGTATTGAACATTTCTGGACCGTGCTATGATTCCGAGGGCCCTGAATTACATTCCCCTTTTAACCCGCTTTCTGAGGGTGGGGATAGTTGTGCATGCAAGCGCTATACCTGGCGATTCTCAAACCTCGCAAAGCAAAACCAGGCGGGGGGGGCACGTCTTTTTTGGGTTTGCACGAGTTGCAGTACTAGCTTGAACAAGGGGCCATGCATGTTGGAAAGCACGCCATGGAAGATTCTTGCAGAGAACACTGGAGCACCAAATTCCCAGGCGTGTTCCATGACCAGAATTGTCGAGCAAAAGCTGGCACGAAGTCCAAATATGGGGGTGTCGTGCTTTTAGGGGACCCCCAACCCAAAAAATGGTGGTTCTCCTTTTGGCCTCCCTTTAAAGGACTTCTCCCCAAACAAAAGACACGCCCACGTGGTTGCAAGGGATCCAATTCTCGGTTTTGGCTTTTTGGAATCGACCACCCAGGCCCCCAGTGTCTTCAGGGTCGCTCACGCAAGCTGCTTCTCAAAATACGAATCGTGTCCCCACTGGTTCCTTCTATAACCAAATACATACAAATATACATATTATATATATACATATTTGGGGTAATGACCAACCATTTTTAAGGGTCAGATCCGGAGACTCCAGGTATATATGCCCAAAAGGCAAACAACCATCTTGAGCAACAATGTCCAAACCCGAAAAACCCCGAAGAATCGGGGTAAACCTTTGGTACATCACTTCTCTCGTCACAAGGGTCTTGTTTGCGGCCCAAGGGCGCCGGCGGCTCGGAGCCCATGTTAGACCTCGCTTCGGAGTCAAAACGAAGGCGGGACCCGGACGAAGGTTGGCGCTCAGTTAGTACCCCGGGGGGGTACGTATACTGGGGTGGTTTAGGTACTGTCTGGGTACCGCGCAGCTATTTTGGGTATTGACATCCCTTGGAGGGTGCTGGTGAGTCAATCATCTGGCATGAAAGTGGGTTTACCCAACATGGCAAGAATCAAAAGGGCGGATTAATATCCGCACCCGCTGATGCTTTGATCACAAACCCAGGTGAGGTCGCATTCGATACTTTGCCAGGCTGGGTGTTGTGTAAGGAGTCTGCAAAGTCAAACCACACGTTTCCCCTTATGCTTCCAGGGGAGGCAGCGGTCCGCAAAGTGGCAAGCATCTGATGAAATAAAACCTTCCCCATGGGCGACATAAGTGAATGGCTCAAAACATCGATTTTGAACCTGGAGTCTCCATGACCCTTTTAAAATGGGTCCATGACCCAGTTATTTTGGGGAATGACCCCATTTTTAAAGGGTCAGAAGGACAGGTAGTTTGAAGCCACATAATTATGGGACGTTGAACATTTAACATTTAGGGGCCCACCTGAAACGGGGGTCTTGTTGACTGGCAATCCCGCACTAGGGTGTTTGCTTTTTGAGGCTCTTGGGCTGGTTTAACGAAAAACCCGAAAGAACAATACACAATGTGGGGTCCCCCAACAATTCTATTGCACACTGACACATTGACCATTGCTGCCAGGGAGCCCTGGAGGGCTATTCGTACTCAACGTGCTGGCAAGAGTTGAGGTCGTCAGCCGCTCTTGCCTGTCGTCGAACATTTGAAAGGCCAGC